ATATATATATATATATATATATATATATATACACACACACACACACACACACACACACACATATGTTAAAAACAAGCCAGGAATTAATTAAACTTCCAACCATCAATACACAAAGCCACATCTGTATTGCTGTCTTGGATAATGACAGATAATGCCGTTATATACCCTCTTGTCCTGTAGAGGGAGCTGGGTTTGCATGGTCATGGTTGCCATGGACACCATCCATGACCTTCCAACCAACCTGGAAGTACTGCCAGCTAATGATCTGTACTGCCTATATAAACAGCTCAGCTGCAGTGTGTGGTTTTCATTCTTGCGATTTAGTGTGAAGTGTTTAGAATAGTTCAGAAATGTTGTTACTCTACTTTGTCTTGCATTATAGTTTCCTTAAGTCACTGTACATTTGGTCCTGATGTATTTTTCATAGTCCCTGGTTTCTTGGTTTAATCGATAGCTGGCCTCACACGTGGGTCCTGACTTGTCCTGGTGGCCGTCCAGAACCTCGAGGCTCAATTGATGGGAGAGGACAGTTGCTATAGGCAGAAGATCTCACTGGCGGTACAGTTCAGGCTGCCTCGTGCAGGGACAGTGTTCCAAATCATTAATAACACCATGCTATGGAAGCATTGATTGTATTTGACTCTGACTGAAAGAAAGTCGGGCAGGAAGAAAAACTGAGCCATTCTAGCAGAAAAGACATTGAAGTAGATTCAGGGTTTGGGAATGGGGCCCATCTGCTGGAGAGCGGGGTCCAGACTGAGCACTGAAGGACAGACTGATCCAAATATGACCAGAACCCCACTGAATCAGAATCTAATCCAGATGAAAACAGCCTTTGTACCAGCCAGGAGCGGGAATGGAGGGCTAACCAAAGGGGGCTTAACATACATTAGTATGTAAATCCAATTTCAGAGCTCTTCTGCAAAACTCTTCTGCATCTCCAGCCCCCTACATCTCTGCAGCATATCCCCCCCCCCCCCCACTGATCCATCTACACAGCTACTCCAGCACTGTAGGCAGTGCACGCTCACGAAAACATGTGTGCAGGCTGCATTAATTCACCAGGACATCCCTGCTCTTTTGTGACCGTGTCTGAGCAGCTGAGGCTGACCACACAATGGCTATATCTGCATTGAAGGACCCTTGTTCCTTTGTGTGGCCATGATTAATTGCTCTTATTATACTGAGTTCATACAATCCCATTCAAATTCAGCCCCTGTCCCTTTATGGGATTTCTGGACCAATCTGAACCTTAATAAATCAATTTAGCTATATATAAGCTTATGTGACATGAGACTTACTCTGTAGCTTTTTTGCTATGTGTTTTGCGGAGCAATCACCCAGTCATATGCTGAGGGAAGCAAACCTCAAAGATAATCGAGTGTCAGTCTTCTCAGGATAAAAGCCTTTTAATAATAATGTCTTGGATGTGTACTGTGTGTGGTTTGCATCTTGGATATTTTCAGTTTTTGATTTCTTTGGGGATGTTGGGTGCAGTTTTATTCTAGCCCAAAACCTTCTTCCGCTTATTAGGTGGTTTGTATAGCAATAGGATGAGATAAAGGAGTTTTTTGGATCTAGAGTTTACACTATGCTCAGTATAGGGTACTAGACGCGTAACATGAGATACACATTCAGTCGTGCTGTGGTTAAGGCCTCAGAATGCACCTCTTCTAGCTTTAACTCAACAAGCCTTTGGCTCGCAAAGGGCGTGGGGTCAAATCCCAGAAAATGCACATTTCCCTCTACTGTAATTTGCTTTGGATAAAAGTATCAGGTGAATGAATGCAAATGTGCAACAGACATGGCCATGACCAATGTGCATCTGGCTCTTAAATTCAGAAAGGTCCAATCAGAAGCTTGGGCACAAAAGCATTGGAAAAGTAGGTAGTACAGTGGTCAGGACATGGCCATGTGACTTGGATGTTAATAGGATGTCCCAGAATTAGCCCTAATGTGACAGCCTTATACTCGCAGCTGCACTAGTAAATCTTCAAAAAATGTCAATGTTCAAATGGTAGAATTTGATTTTTATAAAAGCACATTTATTCATTTATTTAATATTTTATGCAGTGATGACGAATAAGAATAGTACCTTTAATGAAACAGCAGGACACACGTTCAACATAAGCTTTCTTTTTTCTGATCCAGACCTGTCTCTATGTTCCATCTGGTGCTTGGGCCTCATTGTACCAAAGCAGCCATCGCTGGCCCTGTTAGACCTCTTTGAGATGCATATGTCTGTGCTGCTGAACCACGGATCAATGTCGTGTGCTCGTCCTCTACCTTATAAAATGGCCCTCCACTGGTCTGGCAAAAAACTCAGAATCCATTATTGCACCTCATGTGACAAAGCTTATTTTTCTGCCATACACACTATTGCTGATGTTAATGTACTCCTCTGGCTGTTAGCAATAGCAAAAGAAGTGTGTTATTATATGCAGTGGGGGTAGCATTCACGGAACAGAACACACAGGGTCAGTAACATACCCTCCTTTGCTCTGAGAGCCCTACAGACATCTTTCATGGTGATTGG